GTCTTTCCTGTGTAATAACGTCCTCTATTGTCTTCCCTTCATGTTCCCGGACTAGTTTAGGATTGGATTGGGTTCATGATCTTTACTTTGAATTTTTGAATCAATGCAACTTAAAGTTGCTTTAAGTAAGTTTCTTTTTTGCAGTGGTAAAGATTTAGTGGAGGATGGTCTTTTTCTGGATGGATCATCAGAATAAGTGGTCCTCCTAAACTGTCAATCATTCTGGTGATATGTTTATGTCAGGCCATCCTACGTTCTCGTCCCCATTTTCACTTACTGGTAGTGAGTCTGACATAGTGGAAAAAAAATTGCAAATTTTCTATTGGAAAGTAAGCTTGTATAAGAGATGCAAACAGCAAAAAATAGAGCGTGCACGAGGAGAACTGGGCTTGTGCACGCTCTCACATGCATTTAACAGATGTTCCGACTTGGGAGCAGGTACAGGATTGTGTATGTGCATTTTTTTTTAAAGTGCAGAGGTCTTTACAAAAAGTTGTAAAACTCCTCCACTATACCTTTAAATATCTTTAGGTATTGCTTCAACTCTGCCTCTCTTCTGCTTGAATATGGGTCCCCGTCACAACATTGCAGAATGTTTGTGAATTTTTGTGCCAGACCTGGAATTCAATCAGAAACTGTATGAACAACAGTATCCTTCCTGACTTTTTTTTTGTTGTGCAGTGAATGTGATATTGTCTTCAGCATTGAAGCATCATGCACTCAGTTTCATTAATCAGAATTTTGCAGAAGGTTTAGTATTTGTTATAATTGCCCTTCAGACCTTATGAAATATGTTTGTGTGTGTCCTTCCACAGACTCTTCCACTAGGTTGAATTCTGGCCGATCTCTCTTAAAATAACTGGTCCAAATGAGTGAGGTTATTTGGTCGTTTTGCTCTAATCCACCATTTAATTACTGCCTACAAATCTCCTCCATTTTTTTACATTTTATGTAGTAGTTTTCTTTATCACCAATACCAATTTCAGTTATAAAGCATCACATAGCATGTTTCCTCAAATAAAGGTCTCTCTCACTGAGTGCATTTCTTAAACTGTATCAGGCTGTTCATGCCTGTAAATAATACTTTATCATGTCCAAGGTCTCCAAACTTCTTCACTCAGATGCCTGTAAGATACTTTGAGGCCACAGCTGACCTTGGGCAGACTGATAGAGGAGAGGTCGCCATATAATCAGCTCCACCAGGTCCTCTGACCGAAAACAGCAGGCATTGCGGGTGAAGTGTCTTGCCCAAAGAAACAGAGACAGATGGAGCAGGGACCTAAACTGATGACCCCTACATCCTGAGCCACCATCACAGCCCCTGACCCCTTCCTCTTTAAGGGACCTTTCAGTCTAAGTAGGAAACTTTTCCATTCTTTTCTTCTGTTGAGAAAGGTTTACAAATATCTGTAAGCACTTTCAAAGTATATTTTTTATTTATTCTGAGGTAAAAATCATCTTATCTCAAAATCTTTTTTTTTTTTTTATTATCTCAGATAGAATAGAATTTCTCTTCTTCCTGAAAGGTAAAATGAATAAACATTGGTGTCTTCATTAGCATATAACTCTAAGAACCGAGATTAGGCTTTTTTTTCCTTCCTGGTATTTTGACTATTTTGGTTTTATTCGCATTAAGCTACACATTGAAGCAGTATACCGTATCTAAGTATCGCCATAAAATGCTTTTGCATGTGTGTCTTCAGTTAAATAATTGCTGTGAATTAACCCATCAAAGTCTTGAAAAGTGAATGACTCCTTCATCTGGGCTTTATTCCTCCCTTATGTGAAGCAATTAAGAAAGAAATTCAAAATTCTCTCACAAACCTCCTTCTTTATAAAGAGAGAGGTTTGTGATGCCAGGGTATACATTGGCATTTGTCAGCCATAAACTATTTGGATAGTCAACTGACCTAAATGAGGAAAAGTTCAGACCTCTCCCTGAACTGTTAGAAAGTTAGAATGTGTCATGTGTCTTTTTTATGCCGTTTATGTAAATATCTGATTTCAGCTGAGCATAAAAAATAGTCCTGATTAGATATGGGCTGTATGAAACCTCCAGGCTGCTTTTTTACAGTCATGATGCCTCCCTGATGGACAATAAACAGCTTTACTGGAGCAGACAAGTGACTTGCTTAAGGGATTTCATTTTTCAGAAGAGGTCAGATGAAACTTTAATGTTATCCACTAAGATGTCACATCATTAAAGCAGCAGAGATAGAAGTATTGCAAAGGAAGAGTTCAGAAAGGGGTGAGATGACAAATAAATGAGCGAATACAGTCAAATATCACAGTACATGAACATTGCTGCCTCATATATGCATTCCTTTAGATTTGGTAGGAGTGTATAACTTGGTTTATGGGTAAATGTGTGAGGCACTACAATGTGACATTTCGCTGGAGATGTGTGGTTAATCGGAACATCCACATTCATTTCTTGTTTAATGAAGCAAACAGTGCATATGAGCACGGTACGCTCAAGATCTAGTTTGCCATTAATGCAGTTTGCTGTGGTATTTGAAAATAGCTTTCAGCCGACTGAACAATGAAACGCTTGACAAAGGCGAACAGAGGAGAAGACAGACAGAGAGAGACAGGAAGGGATATAGAAAGAGTCAGATTTGGATGAGATGAGGAGGATCTGATTGACTCTCTTTCAGCTGGGCTCCAAACTTTTTACAGTGTCTTTTAGTCTCCATCTATCCCCTGTGTAAAGTCATTTTTCTGTTTCTACCTTTAAGATGTTGTTTCCAGCCACTTCCCCAAAGGAAAAAGAGTGATTTTGCTCTGTTTAGGATCAAGAGTAAGATTTGTGCGGGATACGCCAAGAGAGACTGGTTAGGCTTATTATGGTCTGTTCCAGCTGTACTTGATGCCATTAAATGATTTCTGGGTATTCTGTTCACTGCTGGGAGCAGAAAACTCAGAAATGTTAGTGAAAAGTTTGCACTGACACAAAGCATCCAAAAGGCTGGGATGTGTTCTGTGGGATGAACATAGGTAAAACATTGATGTGCCAAAACAGTTTACTACATTTAACCTTCCCCATTTTAGATATGTGACAATAACAAACATTGGTTTATTTCTTTAGGATTTTGTAGCATAAGCCAAAACTTAGTAGTCTTTTATTGTGGTATTCACTAGTATTTTCCTCAATCTATTTTAATGCATTCATATGTTCTCTGCATAACATGGAAGGGTAGTTGGTGTGCTGTTATTAACTGCCTGAAAGGAAGTGTATAAAGGGAAAAAAAGCAGGACCAAGACTAGAGCCTTGGGGCATCCAACACAAAGGAGGAGCACAATATTGATTGTGATAGAAAGTCCCATCCCTCAGACAAGAAATAATCCACTTCAGTGCATTGCCACAAATACCAACAAAGTGGGTCAAATAAGACCGAAAGAAACAGAGACTCTCTCGCTCATAACAGTAATTTTATGTTTTTTAACTAACCTAGACTGCGGTAAGGAATATCAAGGAAGAATGGCATGCATTATATTCCCTCTTATATTCTTCTTTTATTAGTTTTACTTTATTTTTACAAAATTTTTTCTCAAGTAATTGTACTTTTTCTGACTTTTTCTTCTATTTTAAACATTTTTGCACACTTAATGCTTCTCTTTGACCATCAGTTCAGACAGGCTGCGGTCTGCTTTTTTTCCCCTTTACTCTTTTAACCATACAGTTAAAACTACATATTATTGATGATGTTGCATTAGAAAAACAAAGAAAAGCAAAGACTCAACACAGTGTTTTTGGAAATGCAAGGGGCAAAAGAAAATCAATATACTGTAGAATAAAATACAGAAGGGCTACACCTGATTCTGTTCATAAGATAACACATTTTTTGTAAACATTGTTTTACGGTTCCTTTAGGAATCCGTTTTCTTTAACAATGTCTTACTTTTCTCTCTTGAAATTTCAGTTTGTTATTGTTTTTATCTATCCTTTTTGTCATGATGGGTTTCTGATGTTTTGCCCACATGCAGAAACAACTCAGAGCCGGATGAAAAGTTTAACAGTTTATTGGAAGGGGATAACTCAAAGAGAACAAAGGAGGACTCTCAGCTGGGGAATGTCCAACGGTCAGGTGAACCGGAACCGGAAACACTAGAGGGAGATCAAAGTGATGAGTTCAAGGTCCGTAGGAATTTTCAGGTCAAGGCTTAAATAAAGGCAGGGTAGGACTCACAGAGGTTGACTTGAGGTTGCTCCTTGGGTCCTGTTTGTGGGGACTTTTCAGACTTGGTGATACTTGGCTGGAGGGCGGACAGGCAGACAGGTAGTGGTCAAGAGGAGCAGCGGAGTGGACTGTCAACGAGTTTTACTGAAGTGGACAACTAACAGGAGCTGTTAATGTTTTTCCTTGAATCTCAGGGAGACGAATGATTCCTTCCAAGGCTTGAAGGACCAGGCTTATCCAGTAGATCAGGAAGCTATCCCAATACTGGCAAACACTCTGGCGTCGAGGTGGTGACAGTCTACTGCCCATATACTCCTCTGGTAATGACCAAACGAGCAGCAGGTGTGGGTGGAAAACCAGAAGAGGCCCTCCAGGCCAACAGGGGAAAAGGGCACCATCTAGTGGATGGGTGGAGACAAAAAAAATAAGGAAAACACAAAACATCTCCCACAAACAGAAACCCTAACACTTTTTAAAATTTTAAACCTGATAAAAGCACAATGAGAAATACTTTTTTCCTCCTTTTCCCATTAGAAGGTAACATTTCTGCTTTACATCATCCCATGATTCTCGTAAAAAGGATGAGATAAATGTCTGTTTGTATGAATTATTTTTTTTATCATTAAATGCTGAAGTCAGGCTCCTACACCCAAAAACTCCTTCTTTTCCCTCCAGCAGTCCCTAGCATCCCCAGTGGGCGGCGCTGTTGACACTGGTACCCAGGCCGTCTGTCGTCTGTCTGGCACGGATGGGGGGATGTTTTATGGCAAACTGGAGGAAGAGAGAGAGAAAGTGAGAGAGAGATAGGGAGGGAAAGCACCTCTGCCACTCTCCTTGCTTCCTCTCCTGTGCGCAGTGCTCCGGCCGCTCCTACCTTCCCTCATTTCCTCCCCACAGCTGTCTCTCTCTCCTCTCCCTCCTCTCTGATGCTGGCTCTCCTTCTCTCGCACCACCGAGCCGGAGGAAATCCTTGGCAGGGCTGGAGTGACTGACTACCTGTTTTGCATGGTCTGAATTTCGTGGGGATTCTGCGCGTCTGGAAAGGAAGAAGGGAGGCTCTCCATCCCCGGGGGGATTGGATTTTACAGTAAGCAGGCGCAATGTCATCCCAGCTTCCTCTTTTACCCCTGACAGGAACACTGCTAGAATATGACAGCCTGTTGGGAATATGGCCGGATGCTGTATCTTTTTTTTTTTTCACTTGAAGTGTGCGCCAGATGTTTTGTGTCTTTTCTTTACTATTTTATTTGACGTCACTTTACCCCGATTTGTGATGCGATTTATGCTTTTGTTGTTGCGTTGAAAGATGTGCGGTGCCGCTTGCATTGATCATGATGTCAGAAAACGGGAAACGGGAACCTCCCCCCCTACCCCCCGGTCCCCACACACGCACCTTTTTGCATCTCAGCTGGCCGTGCGTCAGTCCATCCGAGGCCGGGGTGTGTGTGTTTGTTTGAGAGAGAGGGAGATTTGGGGGTTGTGGCTGCAGAGAAAACGCTTTCACTTTGTGATTGACCTAAATATGAGCGATATTCATCAGATTATCACGCGTGACAGTGGCCCGGCACGCGCTGGCTGCGCGCCTTTGTGCAGCCCTTTGCAGAGGGACGCCCGCCTGGACGCTGGGAAATGTTGTCCATCGGCCATCACAACAGCATGTGCATGGATGAAGTGCGGCTTGCAGTTGGTTTGCTGTGCCTCAGGCCTGCCTGCTTGAATGCATGCATGCTCTATGGTGATAACTGAAGGAAAACACACACTCCTGGGTTGTGTTAGTTACTCTCTCAAACTGTTTCCCTCTCCTCTAGGATTTTTAAAGAATGTCTCTAATTTGACAGCTTTAGATTTGTGCTGTGTTTTAAATGTCTGCAGATCAGGTAGAGGTGGAGGGTTCTTTGTGCTTTCTGCATCAATTGGCTGTGTAGACCGAATAATGGGATCTAATTAGAATTAAAGGGAATGAAAACAAGCATAAAATGATCATATGCAGCTTTGCAACAATTCATATCTGATTTTCTTATTTCGTCCTATTAGAGCCAGATAGCAATATATTTCTATAGGGATTTATACTGGAAGAAGTGCCTACATGTAAAGCTGAAAGCAAATGATGCTGATATTTTGTGTTATTTCTCTTAAAGATTTGGTTATTATCACTGGATTGCAGTTTTTGCATCTTTTCACATACTGGTTGGGTTGAGTTAGGGACTTTGACTTGATCATTTTAATGAACATGCTTTCATTTGAAACATTTTAACCAAGTCATGGCAGAATGGACACGATCAACGATCAACATGTTTTTTTTTTTTTTTTTTTTTTTTTTTTTTTTACATAATTTTCTTACAGTTAGCTTTGTCTTCCCATCAAATCAAACATCCCTACAGCATGATGCTATGAAAAACACCTTTTACAACTGGCATGTTATGTTTGGAGTGTTAATTCTCCACTCAAATATATTTTTAATTTAGGTCAGAAAAACAGACTTTTGGTCTCATCTGACCAGAAAATTTCCTTCTACGTGTTTCCTTAAATGGGTCTCTTGCAAAAAATCATCAGCATTTTACTTTTTTGCAAAGTCTAGACTTATTGAGCGTATGGAAAATAGTTACTTTTTTAATAACGGGCTCTAACAAACATCTCATTACCTCTGTATCTATACTGATTAATGGAGGTTAAGTAGATTTATCATAGTTGACCTCTTAAAGAAAATTATTTCAGTTTACTTTAAAGTTATAGCAGAAGGGGCATTATCATAAAGCATGGCCTATTTTTCAAATTATTGTTAAAAAAAACTGAGAAATAAAAAAATATTTATGCTAATATGGTATTTAAATATCAAAGGTATAAAAGATTTGTATGTACTGAGTATTTGGTTCAACTGGCTGCACCTTACTCTTGCATCATTAGCTGCTGATGCTGCAACAGTGGAATCTGCCCCCTACTGGTGCTAAATTATTCAGTTTACAAAGTAAAATACTTCAAATCTCAACTGCTGAATTGAGTAAATATTTTCTGAACACATTTTCCCATGCTGGAAACATTAGTTTTTGTAAAAACAAATTAAGTTTCGCATTTGAAATATTTTTATGTCTGTAAATGACCACCTTAGGCTTAGATGGAGATTTTTAAAGCACAGTTTGAATTTCATGAATCATTTACCCAATTTAAAGAGCAAAAAACAAACTTTAAGGATTCATGATTGTTCCACAGATATTGTAATGAATCTCCTCTTGCCTCATTCTGTGAACCCAAATGGTGTATTTTCTAATTTAATAAGATGGATCATTAAACTCCCAGTTATATATGAGTACATGAAAAACAGAAATCCTGCTTGATTTAAGATCTACCAAATGTTGTGATACTACTATAATGAGCTTGTGATGATTTGTGTCCATCAGCAGTTCATATTCTTATGTTGTAGTGATGAGAATTTTGCAAACAACCTCCAATAATCAAACATTGCAGTAGATGTTTATGGTTATTTCGATATTTAAATTAATATTGATTCATATTCATACAAATATTCTAAATCTTAATAATAATTTGCTAGTATATTAATTTTTAAGTATTTCATGTTACTCCATATTTAAGTGACTGTGGTTTTAATCCACACTTGGGCCAGATATGAGAAATTATGACTGCTAAAAGGACCCAGTTAAAAAAAAAAAAACAATGTTAGAAACATTACTTTAAAAAGTTACTCTTTATAGTTACATGTTACTTCACCAAAAAAGTAATGTTAGTAAAAGTTACTGCACAGTCAACGTAATTAGTTACTAGTCAAAGTAACTAGAAAGTTGCTTTTTTATTATCTTAAATGTCTAATAATCTGGATAACTTTCCTGTTATTTGTATATTAAAAAACTGGTAGTTCAGTTCAGTTTTGAAATATATGAAGTTTTGTGTGTGTGATGGGACAAGTGAGCCACAGTATATAGTTATTTAAACAGGATTATGTTGTTTTCCGAAAATAAAAGAACAATTAAGCCAATTAGATGCTTTAGAGCTTTATATTTTTGTGAGGCTTCAACTGATTATAAAATGAGTATGAAGCTGGAACTAATGCTTTTCAAGCAGTTTAACAAAATAAAAATACACTTCGCTAATCTTTCAGTGTAGAAGATGGTAGAAGCTTCCTTGGATTAGAGATGCTTCTAACTGACATGTATATACAGTTTTTTTTCCTGTATAAAATGACCAAACCACAGGAACATGTAGCTTATGACACTGTGATTTAACCAGTGACTCTGCACCATCGTTAGATTGCAAATAAGGTAACAACGTTATAAATATGTGAAAAGTAATTAAATTCGTTTTTCAGTGAAAAGCTAACGAAGATACTAACACTGTAATTATTTAACAACATTAGTCCCAAACTGGAAAAAGATATATAAAGGTGGCTGGTTACCCTAATTGGAGTCACATTGCCATGTTTCCTTACAGCAGACTGTAAGTAGACTGTAGAAAATTCACTTTAAATCAACAGTTTTCAAAGCTGGTATGAAACCTCCCTAAGGCGGACACAAAATGACCCATTTTTGTTGAGTCCAAATGGTAGACCGCTCCAAAAGGCTCCTCTTAGCCTGAAACTGCCTCAACTTTGGTTTAGCTGTTTTAAGGTTTCTGCTTTCATTCAGGGCTTCCATAGCAAGTCATACAAGTTGGACACAAACTTAGCAGAGCTTTAAAAAAACAAAAAAAAAGCCTTTCTGACATTCAAACCTTTGTGCCTCTGTTTATAGAGTAAGATCAGAGTATTACACAATCACAACAGGCGGTCTTGATAGGGATGTCTTAAGTCATACAAAATAATTTAACCCCAAATGAAAGCCCGAAGGAGGTAAATATTGAAATATTACTCAAAAGGAGATAAATATTGGTAATGTATTTTCTCAGAAGTCTTTGAGACTTTGGAAGCAGTTTTCAGTGTTGTTAAATCATAAACATTTACCCTAATTTTATCTGGCAACTGGGGCACATGAGGCCTGCAGCCCTTTCCGAGGTTGTCCTTCCGTTTATTTGTAGGTTTATGGATAAATTGTTGATTGTCTCCTGGAGGAATTTTCCTAGACCGGGTATTACTGGGAATGACTTTTCCTGATGTGTTCTATAGTTCTATAGATCCCAACACGGTGTGTTGGTTTCTGAGAAAGTTTTAACCCACTTTGTGTTGTAAGAGTGGTTCTGTTTAGTGATACCATCACTCTCCTGGCTGATCATTGCTCCACCTGAATGTGGTTAGTGAATTGAAATCAGGTACAAAAATCCTACAGCAGAAGAAGATGGCATATTTTTTTCTTTCATGGAGCAGTTTCTTTCCTTTTCCAGGATTAGCACCACTGACTTCCAAGTAAAGACATCTTTCCCCCCCAAAATTGATGTTCCTTTATAGTTTTGGTTTTTTTTCGGTGTTCGCTTAGTCTACCAGAGCCTATAAAGAGAGTTTGTTTCCAGACTGCTGCAATATAAGCCAGATATTCAGAATCTCAAAGTAAGGCTATAAAGGCAAACAGGTGAAGCCGCTAGCCACTGTTCTCATCACAGAACATTAAACTGATCAAAGAGCTTCTTTCCCCTAATGTTGCATTCCAGTAACACTCTTAGCAGCATTACAGGAAGCCAGGGGTCTTTAGAGTACATTCATCTGAAAGTCTGGAGCAAGAATCCCCCCCACCCCCACCACACACACACACACACACACACACACCCACTCACACACACTTCTACCCCTTTCCAACCCCTTTCTCTTCATTGTTTCTTCCTAATTGCCAAGTACTCGTGGTAGATGGTAGAATGACCCCCAGAGCCATGTCTCTGGAGGAGAATATGGAAAGCAGTGCACCATGCAATGATTCAAAGAAGCCTTTGGATCATGCTGGCATCTGTTTCAGAAGATTCGCCTTGGCCTGTTTATCATGAACAGGCTTCATTAAGTTTTTATGAAAATAAGATGGTATAAGCTAGATTTTTCTAAAGTCAACTTTCACATACTCATCACAGATACAGCAGAACTTCACATTTTTTGGGAGGAAGCTTAATGTAAAGTGTATTGCTTCAGTCAAAACACTTATTATCCATCTTAGTCACAAA